GTTCTTTAAAATTCTTTCCTTTTCCTCATGACTGGTGAGGCCACGCCTCCCCTGCCTCTAGTGACTGCATGTCCCTGATTCCTTTCTCCCCATACACAGATCTTTTCAATCAGTACATTTACCATTTATCCATTTTCTGAAAAAGTCTACCCAAAGTCTACCCCAAGTCTACCCTGAGTCACAAAAATTGCCTAACCTAGTTAATCAATTAATCAATTTTCTGGATTTGCAGAATACATTGATCCACTCAAAAAATAAATTAGTTCTTAGCATATTCTGAGGCCAGAGAGGCTGTAATTTCTGTTTGGAGAAGGTACAGAACTTCCATAAAATACATATGTTGGGTGAATTACAGCTAGCAATAGCACACAGACTTATATACCACTTCACAGTGCTTTACAGCCCTCTCTAAGCAGGTAAAGACTCTGCATATTGCCCCCAACAATCTGGGTCCTTATTTTACCCACTTCAAAAGAATGGAAGTATGAGTCAACCTTGAGCCTGGTGAGAGTCGATCTGCCAAATTTCAGGCAGTTGGCAGTCAGCAGAAGTAGCCTGTAGTACTGCATTCTAACCACTGTGACTCCTACAGTATAATCTTATTTTACAAAAATTAAATTAAGGATGCACAAAACGCTGCTGCTGGGGACTTCCCAAAAAGCACCAGGAATGCTACTTGTGACCGACAGACCAAAGTTTTTCAGCTATTATATAGAGCACTGTTTCTCACCTCAGCCATTTAAGATGTATGGACTTCAAGTCCCAGAATTCCTCAGCTAGCGTTGAGAAACACAGGTATACATGTATAAAAATTAAACTGTCAGGATTTTTCTGCATTGATTTAACGTGTCTCACTAGAGTCTTTGGCAGTAATTTATTTTCCATTTCATAACTATGTCACTTCTTTTCCACGATCCTACAGACAGAAGAAGAGAAGGAGAAAAAGAAGAAGAAGAAGAAAGGAAATGCAGAAGAAGTTGAGGATGAGGAGCCTGATGAGAGCATGCTGGACTGGTGGTCCAAGTATTTTGCTTCCATTGAAACTATGAAGGTGGGCAACTCTCTGGCAAGCAGGACAGATGCACAGAAGGGTCTCATTTAGTTTATGGCCTGCGGGCCCCGAACTCTTTTAGATATCGGAGAAAGAAGAAGATCTCAGAAGTATCTAGTAATTCACCTGGCAATATTATCCTACTGAGAGGAAAGACTATGTGAGATCCAGTCTCACATTTCATTCTCCATGGACAAAACACACAAATAATGTTTTATTTATTTTGTTTATATAACATATAAAAAATCAATTCCCATCAAATGTGTGATCTGGGTACAGTTGTTTTTAAGCGGTCATAATCCACATATTTGCTATAGTATTCATCACAATAATTTTGATAATAATAATATAATAACAATAACACTTAACATTATCTTCTTCCAACAACTCTACACTTAACATTTCCTCTTTTTGTTTCTCCTGCTTTCTAACTTCTGTTTCTTTAAATTTATAGTTTTTATTGAGCTTTTAATAAAACAAAACATAAAAACCACATTCTATATCCATTCTTCCCATTCCTAAGACATCAATATATCCCATTTTGTTTATCGTCATACATACTTTCCATTCATTTTACTTTTGCTATTTCCTTTTTACATTTATAATTCCTATAACCTAATATTACATGTATATAAATTCTACTTTCATTCAATATTCCTGTTCTCTAACCAATAATACCATACTGTATGGTATTCTTTACCGTCTTTATCTTGCAGTTTGAAAGTTTATTTTACCATTTCCGTGCAGTCCATTACTTTTTAAATTATCATGTGACAAAACATACAAATTAATCCAACTCTGTATTCCTGAATATGAGATATAGTTGACCTTTCAAAATTTCTCAACATGTGTGTCTCCAGGACTGGAGATGGCATGATTTTTGTTATGCCACAGGAAGTATTGCCTTTGAATTCACCTTTCTCTGTATTTCTGTAGTCTGATAAATGATTACCGTCCATGTGTTGAAAGAGAAATTGTGCTATATTTAACCACCCCATTGGCTAACCTTCGTTTTTCTAGATACTTCGGCAGCAAGAGGCAGCTGCAGCAGAAGCTGAGGAGAAAGAAGAGATGGACACCAGTGGTGGGTTTCAATTTTTTTTAGAACCTCTTCTGTAGGTGTGGGCTGCTTTGTGGGAGAGGTTTGCTGGCCATGTGAGGTGGGTGGGAGTGGCTTGCCAGCCATGAGACTGGGTGGGCATGGCTAATTTGTAAAATGTGGTGAAACTCACTTAACAACGCTCTTGTTTAGCAACCAAAATGTTGGCTCAGAAACTCTGGCATTTGAAGTACGCAACTCTTAAAGCTGTCAGATTACAAGACCCTTGCACCCCTAACCCTTTAGAAAAAAAAAACCCAGGGGTGTTCAAACTTGACAACTTT